TCTACTTATTCTCTGTCCTGGTCAGTATTGTACACATCACAGTTAATCAGTAAGGGTTTTCACAGTGAATAAACATATTTAAAGTCTTCCCAATATTGATGCATATTTCACATTTTTGTAGGGTAGTTTAGCAGATATGAAAGAAGGAAAGACCTATGTATGAGAATATAAAATTTTATTGTATTACACAATTAACTTTACAAATATTTCATTTAACATACACATATAATTTTATTTAGAAGATAATGCCAAATGCTAGAATGGTCAGATAAATAACATTATCTTGAAAAAAACTGTAGTTTAGTAAAGGAATAAATGTGGAAGGAAATAGAATTTCTGGTCTTAGTCTCTGATTTAACTGCATTTTAGTATGAGAACTGTCCCTAGAATAAAAATAAAAAGTCACACAGTAGCTAAGGAATTATCTCAGTGACCCTGAATATTCATTCTTAACATTGTATCAGTTCATTTGTATTTTATATACTTCAAAAAACTCTGCAAACAAGATATAAAGTTATATAAAACACATATACTTATGCCACGAAACATAAAATTTGTCCCTGGGTTTAATATGGAAAACTTTGACAACTAACTTTGGTATATTAATTTGATATAACAGAAACTATGAAAAACCATGGTCATTTATTGACCTTTTATAGATGATATGAGAAGCCATTTTTAAACAGAAGTACTACTGTACAGTAATATTAAATGAAGTTAGCTGAACTGTGAGGTGGTAGTTGGTTTTGAGGATTCAGTAAGCAAATCTTAATATCATGCTCAGGCTCTATCTTTAATGTATTTTTGCTTCTGCTTCTTGTCCATGCTTTGCCGACAAAATTCCTTATTCACTTTTAAGGAGAGGCTTTGATATTATTTGATTTTTGAAATCTGCTCTAATTTTCTGCATGTGGACCAATATTTGAGCTCCCTGAACATACTTTTCCTACTGTGTTTGTTATACATTAGTTGATATTTTTTTCATTGTATATTTCCTCTGTAAGTTTCTTCCTTTTTAAAGGTAACAATTTATCTTAACTGTATTCATGTACTTCCAATGGAATGTTTGTTATTCCAGTTCTAGAGAATCCTCCACCCCATGGATCAATGTGTGCAGTGGAGAGGTGGTTGATATTTGTGGAACTGAAATAAACTCAGAATTCAAATACTGTACACGGAGAAATACTCTTTAGAGCTGCCCATGATTTATTAAAGATAATGCTGTCAGACTTCCTCTAACTTTTCCTTTTCCTTTTCTCTTATATAAGAGATATCAGAGAAAAAAAGTGAATAATGGTCCAACAGTTATTACTAAAACATCCTCTACTGAGGGAGAAAACACCTTTGAGTTGTTACCTACTGAGTTATTAATTTTAGGCTCTTATATTATAGTATGATAAAATAATAGTCCACCAAAGAAACGAGGCGATTTTGGAGAGCTAAAAGCTAAATACATTGTAGCATTTATGTATCTTTTAGAATTTAATAAACAGCACATGCAGAAAGAGAAATTGTGAAGTAAAGGTAGAATTGCAAAGAAGTCTTGGAAAAAAAGTCTTCTCAAAACTGAACTCTTTGAAAAGCACTTTGAGAAATAATATAGTAGTCAATCTAAAATGAAACACATCAATTGTATTTCAAAATGTAAAATTTCACATTTGCTTATGAAAATCCTAAAGCTTATGTGATATTGTCTTTTTTTTTTTTTTTTTTTT